AAAAAAAAAAAAAAAAAAAAGACTTTCCACATCATAGGAAAAACAAACAAACAAACAAAAAAACAAGGTTTCTTAGTTTACTCAGGAGAGAATTTAAGTGCTTACGCGGAGGTGGCTGAGAGATGTACACCCAGCACAGGAATCTGGAAGCAGCACAATGCCTCTCAGGCTTGGTGACCTTCTGTGAGGCGTGGAACTTTCCAAGTGCCTAAGCTGCCCTCCCCAGTTCATATGGAACCAACCCAGTGATTTAGCTGTTAGGAATGCTGGCTAGATTCATTAACTTGGTGCCACAGACTGTTTTCAAAGTGCAGAACCCTTGTATACAATCAAGCAGTTGGAAAAATGTTTTATGGATAGATACATGTATCTGGATACCAGTTTTGTAAAGAACCAAATAAATAGTTCAAACACTTCTCCTCCTATAAAGTCATCATCATATGCAACATCAGTGTTATTTTGGGGCTGCACTTCACAGCACGATAGCCAGAGTATAAACTGTTTCTATGGTAGCAAGCAGAAGCTGTGGGCCTAGAAGGTGTGAGAATTCTCAGGATTCTCCAACAGGAACCCATCAGACTTTGGTGGCACTTTAGCTTGTTATATGTATCTTCTATAGTGTTTTGTCTTCTAATTCTAAGGCTAATTGCTAATCTAGCACAGATATTTGCTTTATTTACTAATTTGTAGAAATAAATAACAAGTAAGAAAGGTTTCTTAATTATTTTAAAGATGAACTGAGCAGGACACAGTAGTATAAGGCAGACTATTACTTGGAAGGGATCAATTACAGAATGATGAAAAAACAACCAATCTAAACCTTAAAATGATTGATTCTATGAGGTGATTCTGAAAAATCATAATAAATTTTCCCTTTCAGTTGGTTTATGTATTATAATAAAATTAAATATAGATTGCATTGAGCTATCTGCATAGAAGAAAAAAGTTGATTTCAGTAAACAGTAAGGTAGCAGCATAGGGAAAATTATAGTACCTAATTCACAGAGTTATTGTGGAGAATTAAATGAGGCCACGTATATTACCTTAACTCGGTGCTTGGCACTTGGAAGAGCAGGAGAGGATGGAGAAGGATGTCAAAGGGACACGTAGATGTTTTAGATGATTAAAGGCAAAAACTCCAAAGAAGAGGACTCATCCCCATTTCACAGATGAAGAAACTAAGACTCAGAGGTTGTTGGAGATAACATACCTAGTAAGTGTTGCAGCTGATGTTAAATGTGGTTCTGTTTAACTCCAGAGTGGTGCCTTAACCACTGGATATGTTCCTAGCACTTCCTACCAATCAACTTCACTCTCTTTCCCAGAGTTATCCATTCATGAATAGAATTTATAACTTTTGAGTAAATACATACTTACTTTTTATTTATTTTTTGAGACAGAGTCTCACTCTGTTGCCCAGGCTAGAGTGCCATAGCATCATAGCTCACATCAACCTCAAACTCCTCCCTCAAGCCATCCTGCTGCCTCAGCCTCATAAGTAGCTGGAACTACAGGCATCCACCACCACACCCCGCTAATTTTTGTGTTTTTTAGTAGACATGGCATCTTGCTCTTGCTTATGCTGGTCTCAAACTCCTGAGCTCAAGGGATCCTCTCCCCTCTTCCTCCTAGAGGACCAGGGGTACAGGATTAATTCTATCCACGAGCTACTATGCTGGGCCAAGGGATATTTTGGTTGTTGTGGTTTGATTTGGTTTGGTTTCCCTAACAAAAGAAGAATAGTAGGTATTGGGGGCTCTGTCAAAGTAGAGTGACAGGGGTTGCTGAAGGAAACAGGGAGACAAGAAGACGAGTGTGTTTGGATTATATGGCATTCGGACACTTTACCCAGAGCCCACTTTATTTATCCCAGAAACCCATTTTATTCTGATGACTCACAAGCCTTTTTATCATGTATGATAACATGATGTGCTTTGAATTATCTGTAACATCCTTAAACATACCCCCTCTGCCTATCCTCTCAGAGTCAGTTTGATGGTTAACATCAGAAGAGGCTGTAATTTGTCCCCATTTAAAGTGCATGCCTTTTCCACAGCAGTGCACTGGAATGTATCCTCAGCAATATTGTTCCTGACATTATACTGTAGAGACTTTTAAAATTAGGCTTCAGGGGTGGGGTAACCTAAGAACAGGTTGTCTATTTGAAAGTTCATTTGCAATTCAATTGTAACTGTAGCTGTGTTTTCATAGGGAAGCAATGTTATTGTAATTGATGCCACAGCTCCCAAAGTAGCCTTCCACAAATGCCTCCTTAGCAAACATAGCTAAACTTAGAACTGAGAGCAGGCCTATGTTCAGAGCTGAGCCCCAAGCTTAGTAACACATGGAACCCAGGGGGAGCCGGGGTAGCAGAGTCTCCATGGTTGTTTTAGGAAAGCAGCAGGAAAGTGGGCTGCTACTTGCCTCAGTGACCAGTGTAGGTAATTAGTTGAGCTGTTTTGTGTAAATTAAGACTGCCTGTGTATAAAATTGAGGATACATAGTGTAATTTATAAAGAATCCATAAAAAAGTGAAAATTCAGTGCAAACTTGAGATGATGATTCCAGTGATTACATATCAAGGGACCATATAGATTTCCCTGTGCCACAGCTTCAGTAAGATAAATTCATTGCTATGTAAAGTCTGTGAACTTGTTTGCATTTCTTTCAAAATAGTTTATAAATGGACTTTTTTGCTAATTAACTTAGGCATTTGCTAAAATTAATCCAAATTGTCTTTTTTTTGCACCCAGGGGCCTCGTAGAAAAAAAAGAGATGGAATTGGTCCTAAGTAAGTTAGAAGCAGCGCAGAAGTACTTGGCACAGAAGTACTGTGTCCTGGTGCTAGGCGTGGGCATGTCGGACAAGCATCACATGTGCTGTGGAAAGTAAGCCAAGGATTGTGCTAGGTCAGCCCTCGTGTGTGTGTCCACATTCTTAAGATGTTCCATTTGACTTTTGGTACCTTGAGAAAGTTCCTTTTTCTGTTGCCCAGAATAATTAGGCTCAGGTGGGACTCTATCCCAAACACCTATGTGGTCTCCTTTGCACCAGCCAAGTGAGTACAGAAAGAATCCCAGAATCTCAGATGATATTTTTAAAACTCCCCCTGTTTGGGATTAAATGACTGGGTCTTGCAGTGAAATCTGGTTCTCAGCCGGGAAAGATTCCTGCTGCCAGACAAGGGCCACTTGGCCACCTGGGTCTGGAGGGAGGTCGAGTGGGAACTTGTGTTGTGGGGTGGGAGGAAGTGGGATGGTGGTGGGGGGGGGATGGGGGGGAGTTGCGGGGTAGATGTGATGAGGTATCTCCTCGCCCTTTCACTGCTTGTTTTGTAACAACTCAACTGTTGTGAATACCGGCTGCTGTATGGGGGATATAAGATGACTGTGGGAAGATCATTGTTATCTTAGGATGACAATTTCTTTTCTTTTTTTTTTTTGAGACAGAGCCTCAAGCTGTCCCCCTGGGTAGAGTGCCATGGGATTACAGCTCACAGCAACCTCCAACTCCTGGGCTCAAGCGAGTCTCCTGCCTCCGCCTCCCAAGTAGCTGGGACCACAGGCGCCCGCCACAACACCCGGCTATTTTTTTTTGGTTGCAGCCATCATTGTTGTTTGGCAGGCCCAGGCTGGATTCGAACCCGCCACCTTGGGTGTATGTGGCTGGCACCTTAGCCACTTGAGCCACAGGCGCCAAGCCAGGATGACAATTTCTATCCAACTATAAATAAAATTTATTTATTTATTTATTTAGAGGCAGAGTCTCACTCTGTTGCTCTGGGTAGAGTGCCATGGCATCATCAACCTCAAACTCTTGGGCTCAAGCGATCCTCTTGCCTCAGCCTCTCAAGTAGCTGGGACTACAGGCTCCTGCCACAACATCTGGCTAGTTTTTCCTCTTTTTAGTAGAGATAGGGTCTCACTCGTGCTTAGGCCGGAATAGAACTCCTGAGCTCAAGCAGTCCTCCTGCCTCAGCCTTCCAGAGTGCTAGGATTACAGGCGTAAGCCACTGTGCCCAACCTTACAATTAAAATTTAAAAAGGAGTTTAGGCAGTGCCTGTGGCTCAAGGAGTAGGGCACTGGCTCCATATACCGGAAGCGGTGGGTTCAAACCTGGCCCCAGCCAAAAACTGCAACAACAACAACAAAAAAGGAGTCTCACTCATCCCAGGAAAGTTTGGGATCACAGGTTGGAAAGTTTCCATTCTTACCCCAGTCTCTTCTGAACAGTTTCACAACAGGTGTATGGTACACACCATGGTCATAGCCAAAACTTTTGTTGTTAAACTGAATAGGAAAAGAACCTGGTATGTGATGTGTCTCTTTCTATGTTTCCTACATTTTCAAAGATCAGCTTCCTCAGTGGGCATACTTGCAGAGTTGTTAATGGGTATCTTTCTGTGTTTTACACTTCCTTCCTAGTGTCTTCTGTTACTCTGCTTACAGAATTTCACTTATACTTTGAACAGCAGCTCTGGTTATTCTGTTGTGTAACATACTCATTTGTTCAACTATTCTTTTTGTATACATTTGTGTGATTTTGGTATTTCTGTTTTATAATATTTCTGCCCTGAATATCTTTATACAGATTACTTTGTTCATTTGGGCTATTTTCTTATGGCTTATTACCCAGAATGTATCTATCTACCTACAAGGCATGAACAGTTTTATAGCTCTGAAAGATTTTTCTCTGAAAAGGTTAAAGACATTTTATATTACCATCAGCAATCAGCATACTTTTTTTATTGGGTTTTATTATTTTAATATTTTTGATCATTTGAAGTAAGGATGTTTTATGGACTTTCAATATCTTTTATGACTGCGGAGTCTGTGCTCTTTTTTGTGTAAAATAATTTATTGTTCATTTAGTTTTAACTATCTGCCAAATGGAAACTAAGCATTTGTATAATTTTTTAATATGTATCCCATAGTGAAGATTGGTCTTTTTTTTTTTTTGTAGTTTTTTGCTTTCTTTTTGGTATTTATGTCTTTATACATTAAGAACATGTTTTAAATTTTTATTTATTTGAACATGTTCACCTTATTTCTGATGCTAGTCAATAGTCCAGCTGTTACCTCTCCTGGGTCAAACTATTTATCATTCTTGCTTAGTTTTTAAAAATAGGGGCACAAAAAAGTCTAGTCTTTGAAACATTTCGAATTTGTTACAACATGGAAGATGAGCTATGAATCTGTTTTTTCTTTATCAGTGGTCAGATTTCCAATAATACTTAGTAGTAATTTTTTCTTCACTGCAACATTTCTTATTTATTAGGAACTGAATGTTTCTAATATTTTAGCCCAATTTGAGGAAGCCCCATTTAATTTTATTGATTAATATTTCTGGGTTTTTTTTTTTTTTTTTTTTTTTGAGACAGAGCCTCAAGCTGTCACCCTGGGTAGAGTACAGTGGCATCACAGCTTACAGCAACCTCCAACTCCTGGGCTCAAGCAAGTCTCCTGCCTCCGCCTCCCAAGTAGCTGGGACCACAGGCGCTCACCACAATATCTGCTTAATTTTTGGTTGCAGCCGTCACTGTTGTTTGATGGGCCCTAGGCTGGATTTGAACCCACCAGCTCAGGTGTATGTGGCTGGGGCCTTAGCTGCTTGAGCCACAGGCGCCAAGCCAATCTTTCTGTTTTAAATACAGAACCAAACAGTATATTTTGCTTTGTTTTATTCAACACATCCTTTGAGTGCCTATCTGTGGTAGTCATGGCGCTAAGTGTTGGGGTACAAAGAAAATACAGTCTTCAGGACTATGTACAGTCTGGTAGAGGAGTCACCAAGTGAGGAAACCAAAGATTACTAACAGGTGCAACAGAATGGAGACCCCCAAAGTGAGCCGGACTGCAAAGAGGGTGGGTAACTTAGTATCCAATAACAAGAGCTCACCCCTGTTACCTTCAGGAACATATTTGATATCCTTGCTTGTTTGAGATAAATTTCTGGTTTATCCTAGAGATAAATTCATTAAACAAGAGTTCCTGGGTCAAAGAGTATAAACATTGAAATATGCTACATCAGGTGTAGCACAGTTCCCAGCTGACACAACCACTGCCTGCAGTGCATGAGTGAGTCCAGCCAGGACCAGAAGAACTGCCCTGCTGAGCCCAGGTTCAGTCGCTGACCCTCAGAATTAAATGTACTAAATAAATATTTATTGCTTTAAAACACTAGGTTTAGGGATAAGAGTCTTATTCAAGAACAGATGTTACTATAGATGATTTGTTGAAGTGAAAGGAGTATGGGTTATTTTAAAACATATTGCATTATCAAATAAATTGTTAGATCTTTGAGATATAGGATATAATTTTAACTATTTCTCCATTCTCTCTTATGCTCTGTTTTGTCCCACCCCCATACACACACACACCCCTTCTTGTGGTTATAGTTTGGTAAGCTAAAATGCTTAATGAAGTTCTGTATTTATTTATACTTCACTGTTTTCACCCTGCTTCTCCAATTTGTGTTACTTTATTTTGCTCATTACCTAACCCTTCCTAAATGTTTTAACTTCGTCTGTGTTTTAGTGTTCTTATCTGAGCATATATTGCTATCTTTTTATGTAATAAATTTGACAAATATGCTATATGGTTAATTATTTTTTTCTTTTTTAAGTTTTTCTAGATCATCAAACCTTTTCCTTCTACCTTCAGAAAGACAGGACAGAGACTGACAGGACAGGACAGAGACTACCTTCAGAAAGTTAGGACAGAGACTGTATTTGGTTGACTTCACCCTTTGGTTGTGGTAGACTTTCTCCAAGTTACTCCACAATCTAAAAAGCAAGCATATGTTCTCTCATTTCTTCTTGGCTACTTATAAAGACCTATATTAGTCTCTAAAGTTGAAAAACAAATATGAATATGAAGTGTCTTTCAAATGGGACTTGATGTATATATTGATGTATTTTCAGTGCAGGCTCATTTTCTATGTTTTTGGTTATGTCTTAGCATTGTTGGCCATTTCTTTTCTCTTGTGCCCATATCCATAGCTCAATACATGTCTTGGCCCACCATCCCTGGGATTTGATTCACTGTGTACGTGACTTTCCATGATTTGGGAATACCCTCCTCCTGTGTCCCTGGCAACATTCATTCTTCATCCCACGATATCAGCTCTGCTCTTTCAGGTTTCTCCTGCTATATTCAGCTCTTTTAGGAGTTGACAAGTTTGGTTCTGTCTTCCAGCCTGGCACCATGAGAATGTGGCACTCAGACCTGCTCCTGCAGGGAGTGCAATTTAATAGTGCCCCACAGCTATACCCTGAATCCACCGCAAGGTTTGCCTGAGGCCATGTGTCTTAGTTCATTGGATTGCTATAATGAAATACCAAAGACTTGGTGACTTATAAATAAAGGCATGTGTCACAGTTTAAGAACCTCAAAGTCTAGTATTAGGGAGCCAGCAGACTGTTGACTGCTTATGGTATCCCCACATGGGAGAAAGAGAAAGAGAGCTCGCTGGGGTCCCTTTTCTAACAGCACTAATCCCATCGTGACCTAATTACTCCCAAAGGCCTCCCCTAATACCATCACATTGGGAGTTAAGATTTCAACATAATGAAGTTTGAGGGGACACAGACATCCGGTCTATTGCACCATGCTTCCCTGGCTGTCCACAGCCAATGTCTTCATGCAGCGGGCCCATTTCCCCTAGACATGGTACTTTTCAGGGATGACTTTGGCTTAAGGGAAACTTTCTTAGAGCTGAGTCTGAGACAGTCTGAGACCCTGCCTACCCAGACCTCACTGCCTCTCCTCTCTTGCAGGATCAGAACTGCATGTAGATGTGACACCTCTTCTTGCCTTCTCCAGGTCTCTCCTCATTCTCTGTCACACTTGTTTTCTCCAGTAAATCTTTTTTTTTTTTTTGAGACAG